CCACTGATTTTAGCCAGGACCGGCTGTGTGGCTGCAGATTTGAAACGATCTACTGGAGCCTGGTGGGCTCACCATTTGGTATACAACTGAAGGCAATGACCATTTCTCCCCCAGAATTCATTAGCAACTAATCCAAAGTTCGGTGGGGAAGGATAGGGACCCAGGAATGACTTCTCTCTAATCCAGGATGGCTGCTGGTAATCCCAGCCTTGGGTGGTGGCTAGGAATTCTTGAAAGTACATTGGAAAAATGACAAAGTATGTCTTTGTGAGTAACAAAATTCATGCAGGTCTATAGAGGGGATCACTTCATGTTGGTTGGGGGGGGCATTGCATGTCTAGTGAACCTGCCAAGATCCAACCTCTGCTGCTGCAGCCACCACCCATGGGTACTGAGCCCTGATGTGTCTTCTGGGCAGAAACATATAAGACTCAGTGATCCACAGATCTTCTTCAACAGCGGTTTGCTTCTTCCTGGAGGTCGCACACACGGAGAAGGAATGCAGAGGGAGAGGGGGAGGAGGGAGGGAGGATTGGCCACGTGTAACCCAGTGAAGACCTCAACTGGCACATGGTGTAAGGTGGGGTGGGGGGGGTAGGGTGGGGTGGGGGGGTAGGGTGGGGTGGGGGGTAGGGTGAGGTGGGGGGGTAGGGTGGGGTGGGGTGGGGGGGTGGGGTGGGAGCTGAGACCACAGTGAAGAAAGAAGCCCACAGACCAGAGGCTCGAATAGCACTAAAATTGAAACCATTGCACAAAAAACTCATATACTCCATCTTGGGCACTGTTCAATTAATTACTTGAAATTCATGAAACGTTAGCTCTCCATATTTGTAGAAACATTTATTTTTACTTTTCAAGTGTGTATGTATGTGTTCGATGGGAGCTCTGCCTGTGCATGTGTGAGTACAAGTGCTCATAGGGATGTTAGATCCCCCTAGAGCTGTAATTAACTGTGAGCCAGCCGATGTACATGCTGGGAGCCAAACTCTGGATGGCTGAAAGATCAATGGGTGCTCTTAAATCACAGAGCCACCTTCCCAGTCCTTGAACCCCCATATTTGATAATTTTAAAAATATTTATTTATGTGTTTGATGTTGTGCGTGCATGCATGTGTGCGTGCATGCCTGTGTGTGTGCTAAAACATTAAAAATTAGTTCTTTGGGGCTGGGACATGACACCCCTGCCATGCAAGTATAAGGCACTGGGGTTCTACCCATATAAAACACCAGGCATGTAATCCCAGCACTGGAAAAGAGCAAGCAGGCACCCAGGCACTCCTTGGCTCACACAGCTAGCTCAATAAGTGGATTCTAGATTTTTGTGAGAGACCTTTGTTTAAAAAACAAAATGGATGGCTCCTGAAGAATGATGCTTCATGTAGACAGACCTCTGGCTTCTACATATACAAGCACACACATGCCCCCCCACGAACATACGCACACCCCCATACATGAACATATACACATGCACCCCACACACACAGGAACAGACACACACACACCTATTCTTTTGCATAGGCATACTCCAAGTAGTATTTGAGAATGTTTCTGTAATTGAAAATTATTCTTTGCTTATCTGAAAGTTAATTTTACTGTATTTCCTGTATTTTTATTTATCAAATCTGCCAACCTGGTCCCTAAGGTGTCACAGCTAAGAATAGTCAACTGGGAACCACCCTTCCTTGTTCCCCGGAAAAACTGAGTCCAGTGTACACCTCTCCCTCTGCTGGGTCCTCAGGCTTGTAGGAATACCCGGAGAGACCTGGAGCTCTCTGCGGAGTCATTTGATTGATTGTCCCTACAACAGAGGCAGCTTCTCCTGGTGCCACGTGTTGAGGGATACATGGAACCAGCTGTCTCCACAGGAATCCTATAAAGGAATTGTATAACGCCCCATTTCAGAATCTGTGGGACCTAGGGAAAAGGGCCATTCGCTCAGGGTCCAGGTGAGGAGTATAAATACTTTTTTCTTTACTGTTAATCACATACAGAGCTGGGCTGCAACTCAGTTGGGAGAGTGCTTGCCTAACATCCAGGAAGCCCTGAGGTTCGTGCCTCCTATTGAATAACCTGGGTGTGGTGCATCATGCCTGAGTTCCCAGCTCAAGGGAGGTGAAGGCAAGAGAGTCACAAATCCAAGGTCATCCTTGGCTGCATATCTAGTTCAAAGTCAAATTGGGTTATGCGAGATTCTGTCTTACAGAAAAGTTAATGTGTGGGGGTGAGGGTAGGGAGGGGGAGAGGCCAGAGAGTCACTGGAGGGGTAGCCAAACAGGTAAGTCACTCACTTGCTGTGTTAACATGAGCATTAGAATTCAGAGCCTCAACCCACATAAAAGCCAGGTGGGGTGGGGTGAGGTGGCCTATCTGCAATGCCAATGTGCAGAAAAAGGAGGCAGAACCCCCAGAGAAAGCTGGCCAGCCTGACTAGCTAAAATGGGGAGGGCTTAGTGAAAGTCCCTGCCTCAAGACAGGAGGTGATGAAGAATCAATGATGCCGGCCATCTTGTGTAAACTTGGGGTTCTACACGCACTTCCTCCACAGGCACCATCTCCCCACCACACAGCAGAGCATGTACCGGGCACACACACACACACACACACACACACACACACACACACACACACACGGTCAGGCACTCAGCAAGGTCGTGCTTAGCTGCGCTGCCTCCTGGTGGAAATGCATGTATATATAATCAGTCTCTCTCCCTCTCCTTGCATAAGCTAGTAAGAAGGCTCATAGGGTAAAGGTGCGTGCCGACAACCTGGGTTCAAATCCCCTGAGACCCACTCAGTGAAAGAAGAGGACCAACTGTTGCAAGTTGTCCTCTGACCTGTGCACACACTCAAAGACACACACACACACATACACACACGCTCACACATACACACACTCACACATACACACACATTCACACACTCACACATGCACACACATTCACACACTCACACATGCACACACACGCTCACACATACACACGCTCACACATACACACGCTCACACATACACACGCTCACACATACACACACATTCACACACTCACACATGCACACACATACACTCACACACACACACACACACGCTCACATACACACACAATAAAGCAACACAAATTACAAAAAAAAAATTGGAGAAGATTGCATGATGGGGCCCCACTAAAACTTGATCATTCCCCATGGTGGCCCCATCTCTAAACTCTGTGGTCAGATTAAGTTTCTACTCTCTTGATATGGTTAACCCAACATGTTGGGCTTAAAATCCCTACATGAGTCCGGGAAGGCCTGGGGACAGAGCTGAGATTTGGACCTGGACATTTTTAAACTTATCCCTTTAGAGCAGAATTAAAACAACACGGGGATCTGGATGCTTACTAAGAGCTGTTTTTACTGAGCGCTGGCTGTAGTCCAGGCACTGGAAGTAGATGTGATTTACAGTGCAGAGTTTCCTTCGTGGCTTTTCCATCCATAATGATCAATCTCAGACACAATCCAAGAGAGAATCCCTAAGGAGTCATGGTATTTCTTTGAGAATGCAATGTGTCAAGGTAAATTATGGGTCGAGGCAAAGAGAGAAGATGTCTTAGCAGAAAATGGAGATTGGGGGCTGATAAGTGGCTCAGCAGTTAAGAGTACTTTTTTCTCTTCCCTTTCACTGTATCCAGGGAAAGGAGCATCACCAATGCCTGTAACTCCAGCTCCAGGGGATCCAGGACCCTCAGTGGGCAATGCACACACATAAATATAGACACTCACACACACACATGCACGCACATGCACATGCACACACACGCACATGCACATGCACACACACATGCACGCACACATGCACACACACGCACACATGCACACGCACATGCACACGCACACACAGAGACAAACAAACAAATGGAGGAAATGGATGGATTCTGCCTGGATACAGAATTGATTGGTTTTGAAAATGGAATGATCAATGGGCACCAGCTCATTGGTGGAGAAACTGTTGTAGACAAGTGTGTTCCACAAGTGTGTGCACACATGCAAGGTGTGTAGAGCCTGGGCATGTGTGTAGGTCAAGAAGGAATTTCTCTTGGGGCTTCAGAAAATCCCTGTCAGCAGCCATGAACGCTTGCTTTTGCCTGTTGATTTTTGTCAGTTTACCTTTTGTGTATATGTACATGTTCCTGCGTGGGCATATGTGTACCACATGTGTACAGTGCCCATGGAGATCAGAAGAGGGTGTCAGAGCTCCAGAGCTGGAGTTGCAGGCATTGTGAGCCATTATGTGGGTTGTGGGGCCTGAATTCAGTTCCTCTGTTGAGTAGTAATTACTTTTAACTGCAAAGCCATCTCTCTAGCCCTGAGCTCTCTATTTTTTTTTTTATTTTTATTTATAACTTCCTGGCTCTCTTGTTGGCTGCGTGGGCTGAATGATTTCATGTTGGTACCAGCGGATTCCCAATTTTTTTCTGCCCTTTCTTTTTTGTAGGCTGGGCTGGCCTTGAACTTGAGATCCTCATTTTTTCCAGCCTCCCAACTACCTAAGATTGCAGGCACGATCTGTCTGATCCTCAGGCTTCTACCTTCCCCTGTCTCTTTTTCTTTTTTACATTGTGTGTGTGTGTGTGTGTGCGTGCGCGCGCGCGCGCGCGCCTGTGTATAAAGAAGCCAGAGTACACCTTGCAGGAGTCAGCTCTCTTCCACCATGTTGGCTCCTGGTATCAAGCTTATGTCCTCAGGCTTGGTGGCAGGAACTTTTACTTGCTGAGCCATCTCTCCGGTTCCCTTCCACTTTCTCTTAAAAAGCCCCCGGGGCCATCAGGATGGCCTGGTGGGTAGACCTTCTAGGAGGCAGGTTTTGCTGACATTGCTTTCCTATTAGGGACGTGGAGCCTGAAGATGTTACATCCCCCGCCTGAGGCCACCGAGCTGCAGACTTAAGAATTTAAACCCAGACCATCTGGCTCCCTAACCGTCACCTAGTAGTTCTGCCTATGCCCCATGCAGTACTTCATGCTTGCACCATGAAGAGGAATACAGAGGTGAAGACTAAAACCCCAGTTAATAAAGGTAAGAGACGATGGTTTAGGAAAATGTGCGTTTGTAAAGGGTGGGCCTCCTAGGCCTAACTGATGGCAAGAGTTTAGACATGAGACCTTTCCTCGCTCCCAAGTGTCTACATTCAGAATTCTCTCATGTGTGTGGGTGTCCTCTGTCAGTTATTTGTCTATTGTTGTAATAGAACACCGTGACAAAGGCAATTTAGAGATTTAGGTGAATAAGTGTTCCCCTGGGTAATTCGTCAACGGATTTCCGTTGGTAGAACACTTTCAGAGTCAAATGCTGGGATCGAAAGGTACAAACGTTCTTAAAATTTTTAACTACAGTTTTGTATTTGTCCATCCCCATCCTCACTCCACCACGGGTATGAATGACTGTGGCCAGAGGATGAGTCACTGAATTCAGTTCAGTCCTTTTACCATGTGGACCCCAGGGGATCAAACTCGGGTCCTCAGGCTTAGAAACAGATGCCATCCTGTTGGCCTGGCACATTGAGGTCTAACGTACAGAAGACTTCACAGTTAAAAGTCACGTTGCTTCTTCTCACCTAGAAACCTAGATCTTTTTCCTGGAGGGGGTACTTTCCAGTTTCTTATGCTAGCTAGGAAGTGCTACATTCATAACCAACTATTTGTGTATCCATTACAGGTGTGAAATATCCATTTGTGTATCCATGACATGTGTGAGCTATCTATTTGTGTATCCATTACATGTATGTCACATGTGTGGAAAAGTATGCATAGATGCTTTTAGTATCTATAGTATCTATAGTATCTATGCATAGTTTTTCACACGTGTGGTAGCCTACTCTGGGTACACCACACAGGAGTTTGGTTCATTTTTGCTAGAATTGCTCTAAATAATTAAATACCTGCCTGGAATGTAGGACAGTGCCCAGTACATATCATCGTTTGTCAATCACATCCCCGCTGAAGGTTTATTGTGAATGGGTTTTCCTACTCTTAGAAACCAGAATGGTCTTACATCTCCTTCCTCCTCCACCAGCCTTGCCTTCACCAATTCCTGATCAGACAGCAAGCCAGCTCTCTGAATGGAAGCGAAGAGTTCCAACCACTTCGCTGCCAACCTGGTACAAGGTAAGCTGTGGGTTTCTCCCTTTGACTAAAAGCTAGCTTTTTCTGGAGAAGACAAGGACATTCCCACTTTCCTGCCCACCTCAGGGGTCTGCCCTGGCTGTACATATATTGTACCTTCAAAGTATTACCTCATGGAGGGGCACTTTTCTAAGCGACGCTTCGCTCTTTCCTAATCTCTGCTCCCAATAGGCTGACAACAACGTCACGGTTTTCTTCCTTCTCTTTCCTCAAGATTTATTTGGTTTTTAACTGGGCGTATGTGTGTGTATATATGTACATATGAATGCGGTGTCCTGGAAGCCAGAAGAGGGCACCAGACCCCCTAGAGCTTGAGTGACAGGTGGTTGTGAGCTGCCAGACCTGAGCTCTGGTCCACTGCAAGGGCAGTTAAGCACTCTTTACCTAATCATCTCTCCCGCCCTTGTTTCATTTCCTCTCTAGCAAGTATTGCCCTGGCAATGCATGCTATTTTTAACTTGTTCACCACCCATCTGCTGTTCCCCATCTGGGAGGGCAGGAACCTTGTCTTCTTGTGACTGGCTGGCATATCCCCTGTGCCCAGAAACAGATGTGATGAGTGGTGGAGACAGAAAGGTCTTCATGGGACACTGGAGGAAAGGGGCATTCTCGAGGGCACCGCTAATGAGATTGCCCTTTGGGGGTAGGAAGTTGACTAATTCTGTGGGTAGACAGCAGCCGGGTAGACCCTCTGAAAAGGGTTCAGAGTCAAGTCTGAAGGAGGCCCCTTCTCATAGGTCTAGTTTCTCAGCACGAGCCTGCGTTCAGGGAGCAGGGAGAAGAGGGGAGGATTCTGCAGAGGGAATGTGGGACTTCTAGAATGTCAGGGAAGAGGGGTACATCTCATTGATCTGTACGCATCAGACTCGTGGCTCTCTGATGCCTCTTAGTCTGGCAGCCTGAGGGTCTGGGGACTTCCTGGGGAAGGAAGAATGACACTTGCCATTCTCCTGGAATCTGGGCACCTAGATGGTTGGTTAGAGATTCAGATAGGCTTTCCCCCGGGAGAGGGGCTCACCCTTTCTCCTTTGTGGAAGAAAGAGGCCTCTGCAAGCATTCCTGGCCTGAGCAGCAGTCTGAGCTGGACTTTTAACAGACACTTTTTAGGTCTGGGCTGAATGGGTGATGGACAATGGATGAAGGGATGAATTAGTGAATGGTTCTTCTGAGGAGGCCAGCCTTGGCATAGTCCAACTGAAATCCACATCTCCTTATGCTGGCACTTCTGATTTTCTTCTGGGGATGCCTTGTCTCCCAACCATTTTGGACAAAGCTGATTTTTTTTCTTTAAATTCCTTTAAGTTAATGACTTTTATTATGTCATCCAAGCATTTGATTTAATGTCATTGTCTTCGATGGTTTCACACATGTATACTCCATTGTGACTGTACCCATACACATACCCATTGTCCTCTCTCACCTGTCTCCCATTCCGGCTGTGTCCCAACTAGCACGCCTCCTCTCCTATTTCATAACTTTCTGTTTTGACCCATGAGTGTAATTAGGGTTGGTTGCATTAGCATGGGCGTGGGGTTATTTACTGGAGCATGGGAAATTCAGCAGTGCATACACCACTGAAGAAAATGACCTTCCCCCTCCCCCGGCAAATATTAACCACGAATAGTTCCTAAGGGACAGGTGGGGTCTCGTGATCCCCTCCCGCTGTAATTATGGGATGTTGATGGGCCTACTCTTGTGCAGGTATCCACAGCTGCTGTGTGTTCATGAGTGCAACGTCATATCCAGAAGACTACATTTCCCAGCATTCCTCTTCATCCTCCAGTTCTTATACTCTTTCCACCTCCCTCTTCTACAGTGGTCCCTGGGCCTTGGACGGGGTGATGTAGGGAGAGGTCGATCTGAACCTCACCCAACTTCCAGGCTTGCTCCGGGCAATAGTGATTGAGTCAAGGCTGGGCAGTGTGACTCAGTCCTGACCAGTAAAAACTGGTCTGGAGACTTGCTTTGACCTCAGGGTTGCTTAAACTGCTGGGACAGAATCCTGGAGGGGCACAAATAAGAGTGCCAAAGGAGAAATGGGGAGAGATGGGCAGCCATCAGCAAGCCTGAAGTACCTGGAGGCTCACATGGCGGCCTCAGCAACTGGAGGACTGGACCGATTTTCCTATTAGCAGCAACAACACACATGAACAGGAACACATACACAATGCACACACAGACACACACACACATGTACACACATACATATATTCATACATACATATACACACCCACATACATATACACATATGTCTACACACCCACATATATATACACACATACATACACACCATACATATACACATACACACTGCACACATATACATTCATAGAGACATACCCACTGTACACATACATATATACATACACCACATACACAGAGATTACACACATTTACACATACACATATACACACACACTGCACACATACACATATACATACACATACACATATACATACACATACACATATACACTATACACATACCCACATACACCTATATACACATATATATACACATTTCCAAATATACACATACCCACATACTACACATACGTACACGAATACACATACTACACATACACACATACATACACATACACATACACATATCCAGACTACACTTATACATACACATACACATACACAGACTACGCCTATACATACACATACACGTTGGACACATACATCAACACATACACATACTCACTGCACACATATACATACATAACCACTGTGTATACATACACATATATTACACACATATACGTACCTACATATATATACACCGCATATACATATCCACTGTACATATACACCACACAAACATACTACACAGATACATACACACACATATACACCATGCAGACATGCTTCACAGATACATACACACACACATGCACCACATACACATACACCGAAACAATGCTTTAAAACTCACAAGGAAGCTGTAAGAACTGTACAAAGGTCACCCAATGTTTGCTGACATTTCTCCTATTGCCCGGCCATCTGCATCTTTGTCTTCAAAGCCATTGAGCATACCTGCATCGTAGCACTTACCTCTAAATAACTTCAATCTGTATTCCCTAAGGATGACAGTTGTTTTCAGTGCTGGAGACTGAGCTGGACCATCCCACAGATGTGGGAAGAGAGGCGTGGGGAGTCACTCACCTGAGGACCCCCAGCTCTCTGATGGTCAGGGGAGTTCAAACCCAAGACCCTGGCCCTGATTCCACGCGACCCACTCCTGTAACTGTAGAGTGCTCACTCTAACACAGTGCTAACCTTCTCTCCTTCCTTCTGTGTTCTTTCCTCTTGAAGCTCTGTCCCCTTCGGTGTTCACCTTCTGAGTGACCTCTGCTCTGCTCTGCTCCGCTCCGCTCTGCCTCCTCCTCGTCACTGGACCTTCAACTGTCATCTACTTTTTCAAGCATGTGGAGAGGTCTCCTGGGCATGTTCTTCTAGCACCGGGCCATGCCACGCTGGGATGCCCCTGAGGCCCATGTCCAGGCCCCTTCTCCCTGCTCTGCACTGTATGTTCCAGAAGGACATACATTTGGCTGCGGCCATGTGAGGTGTTGGAACAGAATGACGCTTGCTGTCCCTATGTGATGATAGTCTGTGTGTGAGCATTCAGGGATGGCCAAACCAAGGACCTTTGATCTCATTCTTCCTTAGAAAGCGGAGGAGGGTTCACCCCAGCTCATCCCACAACCTGAACCAAAAGAAGTGGGGTGTAGGAAAGGAAGGTTCTTTCCTTTAGTCCTTCTAAAAGCAAATACGGGGCCAGCGAGATGGCTCAACGGGTATGGGTGCTTGCAGTACCCACTCTTTATCAATGAGCCATCTCTCCGGCCCCTGATTATTCAACATTATTAAAACTTTTGCTTATGTCACAGGTTTCCAATATCCCAATGAACCAAACCTAGGTTCCGTTTGGGAAGACAATGCCTGGTCACACACTCCTAGTTTCGTTTCTACTGCTGCAATAAAATACCGGCAAAAAGCAACTGAAGGGGAGGGTTTGTTTGGCCTGTAGTTAGGTCACAGTCCAATATTGTGGGGAAGTCAAGGCAGGGGACTTGACCACAGTGAAGGGCAGAGAAAGGAACGCACTTATGCCGCCTGCTTGCTTAGCACCCAGCTAGATTTCTCCACTCTTATCCTGTCCAGAGCCGCGACTATGAAACGGTGACACCCACATTCACGGTGGGTCTTTTCATTTTAATGAACTCAATTAAGACCAAATTTATCTAACAATTCCTCACTGAGACCCTCTCTTCCTGGGTGACTGTGCTGTGTCAAATTGATAAGACAAACAAGCACGTCGCGGGCCCATGAGATGGTCAGCAGTGAAAACTATGTGCTGCTCTTGCAGAGGACCTGAATTTGGTTCCCGGCAAATTCAGGTCCCACATTAAAGGCAGCACACAATGACGCGCGACTCCAGTTCTGGGGGATCTAACGTCCTCTTCTGGCTTTCACAAGCATCTGCACACATGTGACATAAACCACATAGAAACGCACTTGCACACACAAGTACACATTAAAACACACATGCACATACACACATGTACACACCCAAATGGTATGGACCTAGTGCGAAGCGAGAAGGTACCCGGGTCGTCTTCGCAGTCTGCAACGGTGTAGAATTTTGAATACAGCTCAGACTCCCACCTCTTTGCATCGCCTCTCCGGGGCCAAGGGAAAGACGAGGCCTCGTATGAGCGGTAGTGGGACTTTGGTGTTATAGGAACCAGTGGTCTTCAAAGATGTAGCTGTGTACTTCAGCAAGAAAGAGTGGCAGCTACTGGACCCTGCTCAGAAGGACCTGTACAAGGATGTGATGCTGGAGAACTACGGGAACGTGATCTTTGTGGGTAAGGATAACCTCGCAGTTTGTTCTGGGCTCACGGGAGTCTGTGGGTCTCAATTTGGAGAGGCTGTGGTTCACAGAGATGAACTCTGTCATAGTACTAAATTCAGACCCTACATCACCCTTTCAACAACCCTCCACTTCAGAAGTTCAGTTTTTAACTTATATGCAGGAAGAAAAAAAAAAAGGTGGCGTGTGTTGGGAAACAATGCTCCCACCTCACTTACTGGTCTGGCTTAAGTCCAGGAGCACAGTTATGCCAATCCTGATGACCACTGGGTCCAAGAATGGGCTCACTGACTGATATGGTAGTGGGCTCCATTTCCTAGACTGAGAAATTTGAGCTGCTATTGGGGGGGGGGAGACGGTGGGGGTGAGGGGGCCAGGACAAGCTGGCTGTTTATATCGTTAAAATCCCTTAGCTCTCTGCTTTGTGTGTAAACATTTTCTGAAAGGAATCCCCGAGAGGCGGCATCATGTGACAGTTTTGTTTCTTTCTTCTTCTTCTTCTTCTTCTTTTTTTTTTTTTTTTTTTTTTTTTTTCCTTTCTTGGTTTTCTTCTGTGGACCAGAGTGTTATATTTTCAAGCCAAGGTTGATCACCAGGTTGGAGCAAGGTGTTGACATTTTTGTCCCTGGACAGCGCCAGCAAGGCGAGGCTGGCAGCAGCAGGAGTGACACCTCCTCAGGTGAGTCAGAGGGCCATTCTAACAGCTTTGCAAGCCATCGGTGTTGTCCTCTGTCTGCTGGGGACCGACAGGGTGACCGCAGGTCGTGATACGTTTGAGGCAAGCTGCGCCTTTCCTCCCAGTCCCAATGACACTGGCGCTCCCCTTTAGTACCACACTTCATCCTTGTCCTCTGGGGTTGCTGGTGATGGTAACAGCATGCCTCTGGGATTTTCTCCTGACCGGTTCCCAAATGATGACGCTGCACTGTTTTCCAGTTATAGCTTTCAGCAGGACGTTTTGATTTTTATTTTTGAGTGTGTGTGTGTGTGTGTGTGTGTGAGAGAGAGAGAGAGAGAGAGGGTGTGAGAGTGAATGAGTGTGTGTGCATGTGAGTGTCTGAGTGTGTGTGTGTGAGAGAGAGTGTGTGTGTGTGTGTGTGTGTCAGAGAGGGTTGTATGGGTGTGAGAGAGAGAGTGTGTGTGGGAGACTGGTTTCTACCTGACCTTAATATTCTAAAATATCATTGCTAATTCTCAGTCCTCTGCTGGCTTACAGAAATAAGTGCATTTCTGAATCACATGATCATTACGCATCACGCTCTAAACTTCAAGAACATGTATAGATAGATGGTTTTCATTAAGACAGCATTTTAATATATGCAACTGGGCTGAGGGCGACATGCTGCCTTGCTATTTAGCCTAGCCCGGATTTGTTCTTGGAATCCCCCTGCTCACAAGTGCTGGGTTTATAAACACACTATGTCCTACTCCGCTACTATATGCGTTTAAGAAGAATTCCAAGTTATAGGAAGTGGTGTTCATTAGAAATGTCGCTCATGGGTTGGTGAGATAACTAAGAGGGTGAACGTTTGTCTTTAAGACTGATGGCCTGAGTGCACATTGTGAAAGGCACCAGAACCAACAAGTTGTCCTCTGACCTCTACAAGCATGTAGTGGCATACACGTGCCCACATCCACACTACAATAATAGGTGTAATTCAAAACAACAACAACAACAACAGCCCTGGTGCACACCTTTAATCCCAGCACTCGGGCGGGAGGCAGAGGCAGACAGATGAGCTCTATGAGTTGGAGGCCGGCCTAGTCTACGTGGTGAGTTCCAGGACAGCCAGAGCTGCTGTCTTAAACCAAACCAACAATATCTTAGTCTCTCCAGACCAATTTATTTATTTCTTTAAGTTTTATTCTACAGTCCAACCTCAGTTCTCCCTCCCATTCACCCTCTCACTCCCCATGGCTCCGCCCCCCGCCCACAAACAAATATTCCATATTTCATACTTTCATACAATTTATATTGTAATTATTAGTAAACATTCTTCATTAAAACAAAACCAGACATGAAACAGATGTTTCTGTTCTGAATCTCCTTTGTGGAGCTGGAGAGATTGCTCAGTGGTTAGGAGTGTTTACTGCTCTTGCAATGACCAAGATTTGGTTCTCAGCATCCATGTCAGGCAGCTCACAACTGACTGTAACCTTAGGTCCAGGCCATTTGATACCTTCTTGTGGCTCACACAGTACCTGCACTCAAAATGCATATACTCACACACTTTTTAAAATTTAAACCTTTAAATCTCCTTCAGGGAAGAGGACAGGGGATAATTCAAAGACAGAAATCCCGAAGTCAGACAATTCTAAGACAACACCAGGGAAGAAGCCCAAGAAAACGAATCAAGGGGGTGGTTCCAAGAGTTCGAGGGCAGAAAAGCGGTCCAAAAGTAATGACAGGCCATCTCAGAATAAGAGGAAATGTGGCTCAACTTCGACTCCAGAAGCAGGTAAAAGAATCGCTTCTAGCAGTAAGAAGCATGCCTCTGTGACCCCGAGAACATCTTCGAGTCAAACATCAGCCATTAAATTACCTCGGAGCACACTTCTAGAGAAGTTGACTTCGGGGAAACACTCTCATGGAAAAACACAGCGAGCCAGGAACACCACAAAGGCCACAAATCCCAAGCTCACGGGAACATCTTTGAGTCAGACATCAGCCTCTAAAACACCTTGGAGCACCCCTCAAGAGAAGTCGACTTTGGGGAAACACTCTCATGGAAAAACACAGCAAGCCAGCAACGCCACAAAGGCCACAAATCCCAAGCTCACGGGAACATCTTTGAGTCAGACATCAGCCTCTAAAACACCACGGAGCACCCCTCAAGAGAAGTCAACTTTGGGAAAGGACTCTCATGGAAAAACACAGCAAGCCAGCAACGCCACAAAGGCCACAAATCCCAAGCTCACGGGAACATCTTTGAGTCAGACATCAGCCTCTAAAACACCACGGAGCACCCCTCAAGAGAAGTTGACTTTGGGGAAAGACTCTCATGGAAAAACACAGCAAGCCAGCAATGCCACAAATCCCAAGCTCACGGGAACATCTTTGAGTCAGACATCAGCCTCTAAAACATCATGGAGCACCCCTCAAGAGAAGTCAACTTTGGGGAAGGACTCTCATGGAAAAACACAGCAAGCCAGCAACGCCACAAAGGCCACAAATCCCAAGCTCACGGGAACATCTTTGAGTCAGACATCAGCCTCTAAAACACCATGGAGCACCCCTCAAGAGAAGTCAACTTTGGGGAAGGACTCTCATGGAAAAACACAGCAAGCCAGCAACGCCACAAATGCCACAAATCCCAAGCGTAAGCCTGCCCGGCAAGGTAAGAACCACTTTAAATGTAAGGAATGTGGGAAGACCTTTAACCAGACCCTCCACCTTGTGGAGCACGAGAGAATTCACACGGGAGAGAAACCCCACAAGTGTGACACCTGCGGGAAATCTTTCAGGCACCTCTCGTACTTCCTTACACACTACCGAATCCACACGGGGGTGAGACCCTACAAGTGTAAGGAGTGTGGCAAAGCCTTCAACAGCAGCTCCACCCTCAACAACCACTGCAGGATCCACTCGGGGGAGAAACCCTTCAAGTGTGACGAGTGTGGGAAAACCTTCAAGCAAAGCACAAAGCTCACTCGCCACCAACGGATCCACACCGGGGAGAGACCCTACAAGTGTAGAGAGTGTGACAAGTCCTTTGGCCGCAGCTCATCGCTGAGGGAGCACGAGAGGATCCACACCGGAGAGAAGCCCTACCGCTGTCCGGTGTGTGGGAAAGCCTTCAGGGTCAACTCCCATCTTTCAGAGCATCAGCGGCTCCATCTGAAGGTGAAGCCCTTCAAGTGTGATAAGTGTGGGAGGCATTTCCGAAACAGCACTTACTTAGCAGAACACAAGCAGAGCCATCTGCCCGGGGCCCGAGCAGACTGCCCAGAATGTGGCAAAGTCTTCGATTGCAAAGTATCCCTTCTCAAGCACCGGAAACGACATGAGGCGAACTCCAGGTACCGGTGCAAGGGATGTGGGAAGACTTTTAGGTGCAAGTCAAGCATTCAAAGGCATGAGAGGCTGCATGCCGGCGAGAAGCCTTTCGTGTGCACCAAGTGCGACAAAGGTTTCACTGACAAAACTACATTGAATAATCACTTGAAAATCCACTCTGGAGATAGACCAGATCCCTGTGCCCAGTGTGGCAGAACCTTTAAAAAACTGGCTACCCTGCAGCTTCACCAGAAAACTCATATTAAAAAGAAACCCACCGACAATGTATAAAAGACCTTTAGCCAGAGCTTATGTCTTTGGGTCTTTGGAACAAAACTGAAAATGAGAGAAACTATATAAGTGAACAGTTCCTTCATTTCTTAGTTATTTTCTTGTAAGCCAAATAATTGTTCACAAAAGACTGATTTTTTAACCCTTCCCCTACTTAGAGCATTTGTGCAATATAAAGAGACTTTTTGTTGTTATTATTATACCAATTGGCATCTATGGTTATGGGCAAAGGATGATATCTCATATCTTACAATATACCAGACAGACTCCCTTGCCTTCGAATAACTAAGAGTGATTTGGCCTCTCTCAAGCAAAAGCCATATAGGCATTTGAATTTGAGAAGGAACTTGGGTAGAGATTTCTCTGCCAGCCACTACAGTAACCACTAACCAGGTACGGCTGTTAAAATGTCAAGGAATCAACATGCAATTTCAAGTCCTCAATGGGCAGTTAGCTTCTCTGGCCACTGAGATCATGGACAACTAAGATTTTTCAACACCATGGAAGATTCTATTCAGAACTCATCTAGATCTCAGTGATCAATAATTATCTCACGGGATGATCCCGAGAATCTAGGACACAGCTTTGTGATATGGAATCTGTGCTTTTTTTTTTTTTTTTTTTTTTTTTTTTGTAGCAGAATGTAGCATTTTATAAGTTTTGTGAATGTGTTGGAGCCTGTGATGCTTGGAGCACTTTCAGATCTCCTTCCGGTTGGCCAGCACCCCACCCAAAGGACTCCTACCTGTGCGTGTTCAATGGGTTACTAATAGTGTCCCTGATAACTGTGACCATCTGTTGATCACTATCTACCTATCAAATATGGTGCTGAACTCTATGCGGATTTGCAGACCTAATTCTCATCGGAGTCCTATAAGATAAGAACTGTTATGTACCTAATTTTCTGTTGAGAAATCCAAAACTTCTTTAAGAGTATCTTTTTTCTTCTCCTCCTCCTCCTCTCCTTTCTCCTACCCCTCCTCCTCCCTCCCTCCTTCTTCTCCTCCCAGAGGACCCCAACCTCCATTGTGCCTCAGGCAGAATGATCAGTAGGTTGCTAACAGTATTACTGATATATTTGAGTGTTTATCAATGTCTTTCTAGTTATCAAATATGGTGCTGAAACCTTTACATGAACCATATCAGTTAATCAATCCTACCAATCATATGAAATAAGAAGTATTATGTATTTTATTTTCTTTTTTTTTTTTTTTATTCCCTTTTGTTCTTTGAGGCAGAGTCTCACTGTGTAGCCTAGACTAGCCTCAAACATGTGACGGTCATCCTGCCTCCATCTTTCCGGGGCTGGGGTGACAGGTGTGAGCCACCATACCTGGCTGTGCTGCTTTGTAAAGATGTGTTATTTCCAATTTTGCACTTAAAGCAAGACTGCATTGCTGATTTTATATTGCACTCTTTCAAATAGAGAAAATTTATTATATATTATATATTTACATAAAATGTCTTTAAGATGTGTATGTGCAAGAGTGCATGCATGAATGACTCTCTCTGTGTGTGTGTGTGTGTGTGTGTGTGTGTGTGTGTGTGTGTGTGTGCTTACATTTCTGTGTATACAGCTCCTGACAGCAGAAGGCAGGAACTGGGACAGAGGTCAGTAAATCATGGAGTGTACAGATGTAGTTGGATCTAGCCACAGCCACTTGGAAGATTTTGGTACATGCCACACGGACTCGTTTATGAACTTTCTGTCCAATGGTTGTTTGGAGGCATACAAAAGACAACACCGAGTTATTGGAACAGAGGCCCAGCATCTCATGAAGCTGAAAATGGTTTCTCTGTGACCTTTGACGGAAAGCCTTGGCTGGCAACCTCTGAATGACGGATGAGCTGGAATGCATTGAGACTCACTCCTACCTCCAATGTGCCTAGGGCAGAATGCTTAACAACATCACTCATAACTGTGAGCATCTTTTGATTATATTCACTTATCAAGTGTGGTGCTGAGCTCTGTGTGGATTAGCAGACCTAATTCTCACCAGAGTCCTATAACATGAGAACTGTTATGTACCTAATTTTCTGTTTAGAAAACATAGGGTTTTCTTTAAGATTGTCTATCTTTCCTCTCTTCTTTCCTTTTTTAATTTTTTTTTGTTACAGGACCCCTACCTCCATTGTGCCTCAGGCAGAATGATCAGTAGGTTGCTAACAGTATTACTGATATATTTGAGTGTTTATCAATGTCTTTCTAGTTATCAAATATGGTGCTGAAACCTTTACATGAACCATATCAGTTAATCAGTCCTATCAATCATATGAAATAAGAAGTGTTATGTACCTTATTTTCTTTTTTTTTTTATTCCCCTTTGTTCTTTGAGGCAGAGTCTCACTGTGTAGCATAGACTAGCCTCAAACATGTGACGGTCATCCTGCCTCCATCTTTCCGGGGCTGGGGTGATAGATGTGTGCTGCTTTGTAAGGATGTGTTATTTCCAATTTTGCACTTAAAGCATGACTGCATTGTTGATTTTATATTGCACTCTTTCAAATAGAGAAGATCTATTATATAGTTGCATAAAATGCGCCTTAAAATTTTGTGTAATATATATGTGTGTGTGTGTGTGTGTGTGTGCGCGCGCGCATGCGCTGGCACACACTTGCATTTCTGTGTACATAGCTCCTGAGAGCAGAAGGCAGGAGCTGAGACAGAGGTTAGTAAATTGTGGAGTGTACAGACCTAGGTGGATCCAGCCCCAGCCTGCTGAAAAAGGAGTTTTGGTACACACCACAGGGACTTGTTTATGAATTATATTTCCAGTGGTTGCTTTGGGGCATGCAAAGACAGCATCAAGTTATTAGATCAGAGACCCAGCATCTCATTGAAGCTGAAAAGTCTCTATGGCCAATGGCGAGTTGGCTAGCCACCTCTAATGGCTGATGAACTAGAGTGAATTAGGAAGAAACTGATTCAGAAAAGGTAAAGGCTGGCTCTGTGGCAGCCTTGCTGGAACTCTTGTGCCACAGCTATCAGTGTTGAGGATACACAGCACTGCAATCCAATGCAGACCACCTGTGTGCGTTCACATGCGTGGCCGTGTGTCTCTGCATATTAGAAGACATGTTTTGGAGCTGTGGAGATGGTTCAGCGGTTAAAGCCCTGCCACGAAAATGTGAAGACCCAAAGTTCAGGCTCTCAGAATCCATGTAAAAGGCAGGAGGGGTGGCAGCCTCCCTGTAATTCCAGACTCAGAAAGTGGAGATGCAATGTCCAGAGCAAGCTAGCCAGAGAGACTAGCCACGTTGGAGAGCTCTGGGTTTGGTTGAGAGACTGCTTGATGAACAAAGTGGAAGAGTGATGGACCTCCATAGGCATTCTCTCCCACATATGTAAATATGTATGCATACATAGCACGCGCATGTGCATGAAAATGGAAAAAAAAAACAAAAATTAAAATAAAAAGACAAATTCTTCAGATAAGACTTACCAGCATGAAATGTAGGCCCTAACCTACTCTCACTTAAAAGTGCCTGTGACAAGACTCTTGTTTGGACCAAAGACCCTTGTCACCCAGAGTTTGCAAAGCTCTGGCCAGTAACAGGGCAGCAAGTGATGTGAGCAGAATCTTCTACTCCCTCCTTTATCAGACCCTCAGCAGTGCATGAAGGACTTATCCGAAGATGGATATATGGTGGCTCACTCCAACCAAGCCTGTGACCTTCCACGTGCTCCAGAATGTCCCCAATGGAGTTGGGAGCAAGGGCTCTGTGGATTGCCTTTATATCTTATTCAGAACACTTTGGGTAGGAGGGGGCACAGATATCTTATGGTAAGGGTAGGGAAGCCATGGATGAAGAAATCCCAGGACTCTATTGGAGCTATTTCTGGCGATTCAGCTTCCCTAATTCTTGAAAAGGATCACAGGAGTGGGACTAAGATGTGTTATGTGGACAGGTGATTACATGTAGACAATTATTGTTTTACAGAGATTGTTTTACGACTGAAACATTTGCATGTGTGGGATTGGCTATGTGAGATAGCTTTCCCTAGTAAGAGAAAAAGGAGACTTCATTTTACTCTAATCCTTTTGGTTGCAAACCAGAAGCCAGCTCACACTAGCTGAGATGAAACCCAGAGCAACGGAAGGAACTCGTGGACATGCGTACCTGGAAGGGCTCCTTCCATGAAGGGTTCCTGAGAGCTGTGAACCTTGATTGGAATCAAGAACTTGATATAGGCAAGACATGCCTGGAGCTCTGGGTATTTCTTTGCATGGCCCTGATTTCAATAGACTGAAGCCTTCTCCATGTTGGGGAGAGATGGCTTCCAGATGTGCAGATGCTTTTCAAATTTAGGGGAAAGAGAGTGTCTCTCTCCCAGAAGATCCCAGCAAGGTTGCTGCAGTTGGGAAGCAGTCTGAGGACTGTTTGGTCTTTTCTTATCCTTGAGCAAATGCAATAAGAACATAGCACTTTTGTAATTTTTTTTTAAGATGGTCTCTATGGGAGGATGCCAGGGAGCAGGGCCCATCTCTCTGCAGCAGTTTGGGCAGTGACAGAGCTGTTGGAGAAGACCCTGATCAATTACCAGCAACAATAATAACTGAAACATGCTCTGTCTCAAAGCATGTTGTTTTTTGTTTTTGTTTTTGTTTTTCATGATAAAAGTACTATATTCATAGGCTGGCAAGATGACTTATCCAGTAAAGGTGCTTACTACTAGGCCTGACGTGAGTTCAATCCCAGGGTCCCACACATTGGAGGGAGAGAACAGACTCTGGCAGGCTGCCCTCCCACTTCCACATGGGTACCCTGACTTGAACACGAGCACATGCATGTACACACAACAAACACATGTAATAAAAGTGTAGTCTTTGATTTGTAATGCATCTAATGCTGTTCAAAGTATAGTCAAAAGGTATATATGAAGGTTTATTCTGACATTTATATCAACAAAAATGTATATGTAGCAAATATTCAATAACGAAACATGTTATACATAGTTCTCCCTCCCTCCTTCCCTCCCTCCCTCCCTCCCTCCCTTCCTCTCTTCCTTGCTTCCTCTCTTCTTCCCTCTCTCCCTTCCTCATTCTCTTCCTTCTTCCCTTCCTTTCTTTTAGGGGACAGGGTGTCTCTATGCAGTCCTGGCTGTCCTGGAATGTAGACCAGGCAGGCCTTG